CAATTCCTCAATTTTTCGGAGATAATTTCTTCTCCATACTATTATTTCCTGACGTTTAATGAGAATGCTTTTCCTGTCGACTTTTCCGTACGTAAATTTCATTTCGTGTAAAATTTTCCTCAAAGTTTCTTTACTCATTTGTGGGACCAATTCATGATCGCTAACTGCCTCCAGAACTTTTTGCAAAGTGGGCAGCTCATTTCTGAAAAAGAAACTGTGAATAGTTGTGCGTATACTGTTTTTGGCTTCTTCATCAACTGTGATTTTTTTTCTTCCGCTACTAGTTTTTGGCGTGAATTTTCCCCATGAATTTTGTTTTCTCTTAGTATTTTGTAAACTGATTTATCTTTTGTAATTGTGGAAGTTAATGATGTTGGAACGCCCGGTTGGTTATTCGGAGGTACATCCGTAGAATTACAGCACATATGCACTAAGTTATCTTTTGGTCGCTGATGATCTCTTTCAAGACAGTGAAATACTCGAAGTACAATTTGTTTTTCACTTAGCGACCGAGACTTCGACCGTTTTACCTTTTTCGACGTTGAAGGCCCTTCAATGTCTTCCATTTTTTGCATAGTTTTAGAACGGTGTAGAAATATTATTATTTAATGTTTAAACACTTACTAGCACTAATATTTTCACCAATTGTTCTTACAACACGTCGATTACTTACTAACTTAACTGTAAAACTTACAATTCACACCGTATAATTCAAAACCCGATGTTACGCTCGTGGTTAGAAATGCACTACTGAGAACGTCATCGACGAGATGGATTTTACGCGTAACAGACAAAGACACAAATATCGCTCCGTACACCGATGCCATTAGTTGTAACAAATACTGAACAATCCATAAAATAATTAATTTTAAATGATCAAGAAATGTATAAGTATTACTCATTACTGATTTTTGTTATAATTAATATCTTTTATTAGTACTATGACTGTATATTATCTATAATTTGCCACAACTTACAACTCTACTACTTACTCTATTTTGATTCTGCTAAAAACTAGTAAGGTAAAATTGAGATATGACAACACGGTTCACTCTCAATCATTATTTGTTTGAGTTTACGTATACACTATCATCGCGACATTTCAAAGAGGCTATCAGTATGAGATGGTCTTTGGAACGGTTTCGGGTCGAAGCTTCCTCCTCTAGGTCGACCCGCTCCAATTTTCCTGCGGCGTGTTGTCTTCATTTGTTGGGACCCTAGAGCGTTTGTACGAACTGCGTACATGTCCCAGTTCACCGCAATTCCAGTACCTGATGGTTTTTGTTTTAATTTTTCTGTCAGTGAGCCTCTTCATTAAGTTTACCAGTTGATTGAGTTTACCTTCCTCTTCTTTTTTTTACAGTCCTTACTTTACTGTATCCACCAGAAGTCTACGTAGCTGCCTCTCTCATGCAGCGGACAAGACATCGACCAATGTTTTGTGGCGAGCTAAGCGGATTGTTTTCTATATCTCGTGGTCACAGAGTCCATCAACAAATGTTTGGACTGAAATATCATTTTTTATAGTAAAAACATCAGCAGTAATTTCAATTTTATAGAAGATATTTCGGTTTTTATATCGGAAGAAATTGAAGAAATTATAGAAAAAGCATCATCCGAAAATAGAAATGTTTTCGGATCCAAACCCTCACTTTCTAGTGCTTTCTTATGACGTTCTGTCAGCTCTGCTTTCATCTTTGTCGTCTCCAGATCACGATCTTTTAGTTCGTCTACTGGTCCATTGAAAGTCGCGCTATTTATACCAACTCTGTACTAGAAGTTTCTAGACGATGTGGAATGTCCTAGAATACTTGCATCTGTAAGTCCGCCATATTTGCAGATCTGTAAAGTTGTCGCCCTATTTCCAGATCTGTCCCATGCGTTTCCGCAGTTCGAGTGCGTCTATATTTAACAATGCTGCAGAATTAACTTTAGACGATCCCTATATATACGTTCAGTTAAAAGTAGATACATTTATAAAATTCATATTATAAAAAGTATACCATATTCGTGCTTTGAAGTGTTTTAACCAGAAATTTAAGTTCTATAAACATCCACGAAAGCGCTAATAAAATAACCGCATATTACATCGAAATGAATATAAAATTGCATATTTGAATCTAACATTATTTTTCTCATTACCATATTTAGAGCTGAATGCTGAATGTTAGCATGCAGCGAAAATATTTGTGGAAAATTCTACTTTGAAATTTATATTAGGAAAGAAATCGTGTTTCCGAATCATAATTTGTTGCCGAAGACAGTATTTGGAGGAAACAAAAGCTAGGCGTTTCGCATTTATAAAGTTTTTCTTCCGTTTGCGCTGCTTCGTAATATTATTTTTAATATTTTGAAAGTAAACACCAACAAAGGAATGACTACCGGCTTTTTTTTGTATCTTTGTTGTATTATTATAACAAGAAATATTTTTATCTAATTAGGAAATGTATAGTTATTAACGTTACGTTCATAAATAATAATTTTAATATAAAAACTACTTCTTAGAATCAGAAGATAAACTGTCGCAACCAATATTTACAATGAGTGGCTCGATCATTTCATCAGTAATATTGTCCAACTTCCACATTTTCTCTTCTTCTTTAATCGTATGATTTACTGCCTTTTCTTAGTTTTCAGGCTTCACATTATTTACAGCCTCCAAAAACAACTGTTTAACATCACTCATTTTAAAAGAATTATTTTTTCTTGAAACTTCTCCCTTTATCTGTGCCCATATCAGTTCAATCGGGTTTACTTTGCAATGAAATGGTGGTGATCTAACCACCGTCATCCCACGATTTTTTGCAATTTCATCAATTTCATATTTTTTGATATCTCTTTATGAAGGGAACACAAATGATACAGTTCTTTTCTCACAGAACCGGGATGGAACTTAATATTCTTTGAATTTAGCCAATTTTATAAATATTTTTTTAATCACTTGGTTGTGGGCATTTTTTCTATAAGTCTCGAGTGATAACTTGCATTATCCATTACTATTATACAGTTCTGAGGAAGAAGATCTATAATTTGTTCTAACCACTCTTTAAAGACATCAGCATTCATGTCCTCATGGTAGTCACAGGTACGAGTAGATTCAAAAGTCAATAAACCACCTTTAACAAAACCGTTTGAACTACCGATGTGTACTATTAGTAGTCTGCGCCCCTTTACAGATGGTGGATTTAAACCAGTAGATAAATTTTTTAAAAAAGCCTGTCTTCGACTTGTAACAGTTTCATCTTGCCAAAATGTATTTGGTTTATGTCCCTCGTTGATCCATGTTTCATCTAAATAAAATATATTTCTTCTTTGGTTTCTCATTTCTTTTATAGTCCTTAGGTAATTTCTTCTCCATACTACAATATCGCTTCTTTCTATTAAAATAGACTTTCTGGAATGGTTTTTCCATAGAAAACCTATTTCTTTTTAAAGTTTCCATAGTGTGCTTCGACTCATTTCAGGGTAATCCTTATCATCTCGAACCGTGGCAAGAACTTTGTCTACTGTCGGAAATTCTTTTCTAAAGAAGAACACATGCACTTTCCTTCGAAGTCTTTCTTTCAAAAGATTCTCTAATTAAAATTTTGGTTTTCCTGGAGCTTTACGTGCTGTTTGAAACTCGCCACATTTCTCTTCTTTAACAACTCTGTAAATCGTAAATTTCCCAACACCAAGCGTACTACTAACTAATTCCACTGTGTCATCAACACTTTTACATAAATGTTTGTCTGTAAATGATTTAAAACAATTAAATATTAATGTTTTTTTATTAATTGTTAAAGGACCGATTTTTTGTCGTTTACGCGGCCCTTCCAAATTTTCCATGATCACACTAGAATTTACACTGCACCTTGCAAGTTGCAATTAAACGACATTTAGTAAACTGTCAAGAATACACAACTTGGACCTCATTACTAAATGGAAAAGCTATAATCGCATTTTCGGTGAAATTTGTTACTACTTATAAATCGATTACTGTAAGAAATTCTTGGAATTAAAATAAAACAAAATTGGCAAATAAGTACTTATTGAAAATAATCTTAAGATACGGCTATGTAATCTTTAATACACAGGGCTTTTGGACTGTCCAAACCTTTTTCTATTGTTCTGTACAGCTTATGTTTAAAAAGGACCAATAAAAGACCCAAAACTTGTAATAGCTCAGGTACATTTATTACAATTTTAGGAAATATTTAGATTATATTGTAAAAATATTTAAAATGACCGTACTAAGTTTTGCATTAGAAATGCTGTTTTATTACTCTCTCATACATAAAAATAGACTATAGGAACGGCATTAGGGATGTGACAGCGATGTTAATGGGATGAGAAAAAATCAATTAGAATTGTTAGTGGGATTTTATTTTAAACAGATTTTAAAACTGACACAATGGAAGACATTTTGAGCAATATTGTACGACCCTGTAAAATAACAGATAAAAGTAGAATAATAGAATCGTGCCCGTATCTCTATAACCATACATCTTTATTGTAATAACCAGAATCCAAGATTTATAACCCTCCTATCGTAAAAATCAACCCAAACATTCGCAACCGCAGAACGTCTGTACCAAAAACAAATCAGTTTTTTACTCTCTTCCTGTAAACTACTGCTGCTACGTTCAGTTTGGAAATCGGCCAAACTTTCAGTCGATCAGTATCGAAACCCCGCAGGACGTGGAATACAAGTTGGGAATTTGTTCGGATTCAGAGTAAAGGACACTGAGTGGTCAGATTTCTTCTTTTTGCTTCGTGCGATGTAATGGAAAACCGGCTTTCAGGATGCTAATAAAAGATGCAAAACGATTTGAAACAGAATATATGTTCGTGGCGTAAAATTTAAATAAACACAATAGAAAAAAAAATTATAAATTACACATGTCATCTCTTACAAAGTTACAATATTTTTATTTTTAAAATCGACCAATAACTCATTTAGTAAGCACAAACAAATCTGTTTACCGAATTTGACCAAATATTATTATCCTCTTTTGCAGGTTGGCACCATTCCAAGGACGCGAGAGAATGGCTCCGCTCCGAACTCCAGTCCAGATCTTGAAGGTCACGAGGTCGAGGCTGAACTCCTTATGTCACCTAGCCAGGTCCGGCAGCAGAACGGAATATTCGTCAAGATCAGAAGGCTACTCAAGAAAATTTGCAGTACTCATCAGTTCAAAAACGAACAGGTTGGTAAACGAATTAAGAAAAAAAACAATGAAAACACCAAGTTATATCTTACAAAAAAATTTCTGTTTGCAAAGGGATGGTAAATTTTATACCTACTCTTTGAGTTACTTGTGTACTTTTCTATACCTATCTTTCGCTTTTAAAAATTAAATTCCAAAAGGTAATTTATCTACAAAAATTCTAATTTTTTCTAGTTGCTTTATCAATCAAATGGACTGCGATAATGTTTCTATTAGTAATGAATTTTCCAAAAAAGTATTGGGGGAATTCAACAAAAATAGTTTATTGGCTATAAGAATTTATCATCAACAATATCCTGGATAAAAAAAATTTAAAAATTACATACAAGATTTACCGAAACTGGAAATATTTCTTAATAAAAACCAGTAAATGACAAACGTGTTACAGATGATTACAACCAATTATCTGTTATTTTACTCCCCATTTTTTTTATATAAGCAAGTAGTTTAAATCGACCTAATTTTAACCCCAGAAACTGTGGTTTTATAGATTTAGTTGCAAAATTGTTGAATCCCGATATATTTTTATTTAGTTTAAAAGGAATAGTTCCTAAATTATTTTCTTCCATTTCAACTTTTTTTTCTAACTTCACAACAAGAAAGTATTGTTTCTTTGACTGGACTATATTTAAACGGAATTTCAAAATTATCACCTATTAACTTTTGTTGAGTCAAATTTATAATCAAGTTCAAGTTTATTATATTTTTTAAACTAATACGCCATCAAAAAATGTATAAAAATCGTAAAGTATTAAGTCTATGTATTTATTAATTGAATTTAACTCTGCAAACGTTGGCACTAAAGCTTAATAGTTAATCTGCTGACTTCCCATACTTGTGGATCAGATAAGTTCTGAATGGTAAATTGTTTGCGGAAAATATTTTTTATTACTGAAGGTATTATTATTGACCTAAAACTTCCCGTGTCAATTAATAGTATTATTTTGGGTTGGGTTTCGGTTTATATCTTAATAATGAATCTAAATAACAAATTAAGGATAAGATTTCATAGGTAATACAATTTTAGCCACTTTCTGTAAATAGAGAGACCAATTTTTAAAATCAATAACTTTTGGAACGATTTTAAAACCCATATGTATCTCCAGTGGTCATAAAACATACCAGATTCTTTTTATAGATTTTTTTTTTATCAAATTAATTTTAATTCAAAAGGAAAAACTTGTATTTCGTGCAAAACTTTTTTATTAATCAATGCAAAGCGCTTTCGGCTTATTTGCCATCATCAGTGCTCATCTACAAAAATTGTGGATGTAAATTTACAATTTAAAAGATTTTAAAAAATATATTATAAAATCTGAATTAGACTTTTAAGTCAAAAGTTAAAATAGTATGTATACAATTGTTTGAACAAATTAAAAATTACAAGAAACAAAAAAAGGGACAAAAAACTGGTATTGGGAATAGTGAGTGTGGGATAAGCCCTTACAAATCAAATCTGATCTCCAGAAGCAAGTTAGCTTGTGTGGAATTAAGGAATCATGCCACCCTCACTATTCACAAAATTGAAAAAAGGTTAACAAATTAGTTAAAATTTAAAGAAATTTACAATTAGAGGGTGACTGTGGAAGATATATTGAAATTTGAATCTAGAATACAATATTTGATATGAAGAAAGTAAAACGCCAAAGTAAAAAAACTGAAGGTTTTTTTTTATTTATATGTTTTATATACATTATAATTATGAAAAAGTCTACCTACTGTCCACAACGTATCCAACAAGTTCCTGGTCATCCTCACTCCCAAAATTATATATTTCGGGATATTTACAACTTGCTAAATCATAATTTTATTAATATTAATATTTTCAAATTTAAATTTCTCTCTTCATTTTGGTTCAAGTTGTTTAACCGTTTCCACATGACAGTGGTGACAAGCGACACTTGAAGACTTTGACTTGTCAAATGTCAACAGAAGGAGGTGCGTTCACCTCAGTGTGGAACATGTTTCTCCGAGTGTGATTCGAGTGATTGGAGGTTAACGGAGATCAAAATTTGTTATTGAATTTAAAGATTTAATTTATTGTTAGTTAAATTTAAATAAATGTTTAATATAAATAATATTATTATTTTGATATCAAGACAAAACAAAAATGTCACTCGCGTGATTCTGATGTGCCAGCCCGGGCTCTGCAGAACATTCTTTCAGAGAACCCAAGATGGCACAACTGAATCCGCGGTCCCTAAAGGTGAATCTGATGTTTAGTCCTTTCAGATTTTATAATATATTTTTTAAAATCTTTTTAAATTGTAAATTTACATCCACAATTTTTGTAGATGAGCACTGATGATGGCAAATAAGCCGAAAGCGCTTTGCATTGATTAATAAAAAAGTTTTGCACGAAATACAAGTTTTTCCTTTTGAATCTAAACTACGTGCACACAGCTGTCAACCTTTTTTGGTTTTTTTAATTTTAATTATTTTTAAAATCTATATAAATAGAATAAAAGGTATAGGCGTAATATTAAAAGGAAATTATTAAACGTTTTAGTATCAAGCAATTTTCATAAAATGAATATGAATTTAATTTAATTATCTAATTACATAGAAATGCAATAACCTTGTATGCTAAAAATATTAAAAACCAATTAACTGGGTACTTACTTAAATAGCAATTAACAGTAATATCGTAATTTTAATATTAAAATACTAATAATAAAATTCGATATAGTTAATATAATCCTAAATAAATTAAAATTTTCCATATTCTGGAAACACTATCTCAATTTCTTTCATATTATTTTTAGCCTGACTTTTAAATTGATTTACTGTATATAGAGGGAAAATGCAAAATAATTTATCAATTCGCAAACAGAGTCTGTCAAAATGGTGCATTCCAAATACGAGTAATTAAAATCAATTTATCACTCTTGATAAAAGGTATATGATTTATAAAAACAATAAATTAAAACGAATAGACATCAATAGACCTAGGAATATGGTTACGGGTCACTTGCCCAGTTTTTGCGCGAGAGAGAACAACATAGAAAGAGAGCTCCTGCTAAGTATGGCAACATCGCGAATAGGGGTGGAGCTATGAATGGTAATTACTAATAGCTCCATCCCCGTAAAACTCACTTACCCGCTATAATCGTATTTATCCTAAATTCCTATTAGGAACATTGTGTAAAAAAATTAATCTATTTCGTGGAAAAAATTCTTTGATAAACAAGTTTTGAAGATTTCAAATAATAAGGGTACCTAGTTAGATTATTTTCCGGTAAGAAAATGTCACAAAAATTAGTTTGCAATCGATTTCCGACTGATAGTGAAACGTCAATAGGTCCTGTTATTTTCACATTATTGCCTAACAAAAAGTACAACACTTATAACATAGTTTTTCAAAAACAGAATCAGTATCTACCGAAATGGAAACCAAGCCGTTTTATGTTAGATTTCGAAACTAAACTTATTGAAGCTTTAAAAAAAAATTTTAAGAATTCTGTCATTAAAGGACACTTTCACTTTAGGCACTGTTTGTGGAGAAGAATCCAAAGCATAGGATTAGCTTCTTTATACAAGAATGATATGGAAATCCAAAACCACATAAAAATGTGTTCTTTGCTGGCTCATTTACCTATAAATCTTATTGATGAAGGGATGGCTGGAAATAATGAAGGATTGTCCAATTAACAAAAAAATAGAAGAGTTTAACAACTATTTCATAAACCAATGGCTTAAAAATAACTCGTTGCCAAGAGCTGTATGGAATTGCTATAATTTAAGACAAATAATGCCGTAGATGGATGGAATAACAAATTACAGCTCCGAATAAGAAACAACCCCAATGTGTATGAATTGATTAAGTTTCTTCGATTTGAAGCTGAATTCCAAGACAGCGAAATACTTCGAAAGGAGTTTGGGCTACCATTATCGAACAAAAGAAGAAAAGTATACCATTGGTATATAATAAAATCAAAAACTGTTTATTAAAACTTAATGAAGACGGAAATATTTATAAATGTTTAAAAACTTTAAGCTATTTACAAAAAATGCTTGAAACTTTTTGTAAAATTTTATTATTTTTATATGTTTCAGAAAGTACTGTAAACTGGAGATTTATAGATCTTAATTAATTATTAGAATAAGCTAAATATAATTTTCCTGTAAACGTCCAAGTTTTCATTCTACAGGGTGATAAAGTGAATTTATTAAATACATAATTTGCTAAATATCTTTCCTTACTGTAAAGACTTTAACTTAAAAATATATGTATGTAAGTTAATCGTCATTATTAGTTGACACTCTAATTCGACAAAATACCCATTGGTCAATAAAGATAACTAACACAAGACAAATCTACAAACCATTACAATTACTGACTTCAAGACATCCTTAATCCCTTAATTATGCCTCCCTGGTAAGAAGTAAGGGCTGCTATATCTAGCCAAATTCATAATTAATAAGCAACAATGCATACTATAGGTGAAGATATCGCCATTGGCCCAGCGGGTACCTGCAAGGCCGGCACATTTCTGATAGGAAAAGTGTTCTGTTATTTTATGTAATGTTATATATATTTTAAATATTTAACAGGTAAATAAATGTTTTAAATAAATAAGACCCGAGAACACAATTTTAATTCAAACTTTTTGAACACCCTATAGGTACTTAAGTATTTCACAAAAGCTGAAATTATTAAATATTCCTCACGCAATTTCTTACAAAAAATGGACTCTTGGTTGATCTCTGTAGAACATTCCATTTTCAGGATATTTTAGTTTTAATTCCACTTAAACATGAAATATCTACATTAAAAAATTCAAAAAATGCAAAAAATTTTACTAATGGGACCATTAAGTCCATAAAAACTTGGTCCCATTTACTAATGGAATTTTTAATATTTTTTATGAAATCGTCTCTTGATATAATTGTACATGGATTTCATGTTCGAGTTGGACTTAAACCGAATAATCTCAGTAATTTAATATTACTAATTTTAACTCTTATGAAATATAGGG